TTCCCTGCACCCTGGCATGAATTCTTTTTCATGTCACCCTGCTATGTCCCCTCTTAGTACTTGTAACTCAGTTGACACCCCTTTTGATGACAACTCCATCGTTCCAGTTATTTAGGCCCCAAACTTCTGCTTCATCCTTGACTCCTCTCCTTCTTTTACCCCACCTTCAATCTGTCTAGAAACTCTGATGGCTCTGTCTTGAAAATGCAGGCAATCTGATCACTTCTGACTGCCTCTGCAACCACCCTGTCTTGGTCTGGGCTGCCGTCAATTCTCACCTGATTACTGGAATAGCCACTTAACCAGTTTTCTTGCTTCTGTGTTTTTCCTCTTATAGCTGGGCCCTCAATAAAACACCCAAAAGGATCCCTTTAAAACTGTTCAAATCCTCCAGTGGTTCTTCGTTTCTCTCAAAGTCAAGTTCTTACAATGGCCCACAAGGCCTGACATGACCGTCCTCCCATCATCTCTCTAACCTCTTCCCTACTGTTTTACCCAGCTGGAATTTAAATTTTTGAGGGTAAAAATTATTGTCCTTATTGTTCGTCAATGTATCTTAAATACCTAAAACTACCTGGCACACAGCAGGGCCTCAATATGTATCTTTGGATTGAATGCATGAATCTTGTTTACTTCTTTATAATTTATTTTTCCACTGTTAGGCTATAAGCTACATGAGGACAGGATCCTTATTCTTGTTTCACAGCATATCTAAAGCATTCAGAAGAATATATAGTAAACAGTAAATGGTCAACAAGTCCTTGTCGAATAAATAAATGAACATCTATTGGGAAAAGATTAGTGCATCTACTTAGACTACACTGAGTTAATGAATACATTCTACATACAGGTGGTTTCCATCCATTCTTATAGGCAGCTATCTATGGTGGATGTTATACAATAAAGCAAAGAATGAATTGTTCAGATAAATAGAACTTTATGGAAAGTGGTATGTAGGGTCATGGTTGCCCCAAAGTTACAATCATGTAGTGAACTGGAATACATCACAATCAGTATATATCCCAATTCTTTCTGCTATTGGCTCTAAGTATGTGGGCTCTGTCTGCTTAACTTCCTGAGGAAAAAGAAATCTGCCACTTTGATGGTTATTTGCAAAACTGCTTACCCCAGGGGCTTTGATGGTGGGAAAGATTGTTTACAAAACTCAAAAAAAAAGTCATTTCAGTGTATAAGAACACTTTCTATTCTTGTAGGAGAGAGTCATGCTGCCAATGACTTACATTATCTGTTTTATTTTCATCTCTATTGAAGGGCATTCATATCTCTCTTCCTCTGTGCACCTATAGGGGATCCAAAACTATTCTCGGTGATTGTTTGGATTGTTAATCTCTCCAGGGTTTCCTCAACATTCTCAAGGCAGTTTCTGGCACCAAAGGGAAAATGGAGAAGTTGAGATGCAATTTTATCTCCCAATTGAGCTTGATTAAATGGGGACTGTTCTAATCAAAAGTTTAAATCCTGGGGGAGTGCGATGTTGTTAACAGGTTTGAGAATATTGGAGAAGAACAGAGAGGAAGTGTACTAAAGTCAAAGTAGAGAATCAGGCAAGAAAATAATTGTAGTAAAGCTTATGAAGTCATAAAATTAGGTGAATAAATTGCTTCACAGATAGTGTTAAGCTCATTGCTAGACTGGCAAAGGAAGTGGAAGAAAGCTCTTTGAAAACATTATTTTTACTATTTTAATAATTTGTGTAGGAATCACAGTAGCTGCAATCTGTCAGGGAGAAACAATTGCCAGCTGGTGTCATCGCGGAGTAACTACAGTAGGCTGAATGCAAATACGTTTTGCCTTTTTACCTGGAGAGCATTCAATTTTAGAAAGTTTCTCTTCATTTTTGCCTGCGTGTAAGGTCTGCCCTTGTAGATAAGGAAGCCTGTTTGTTGTGTGATTTTAAGAGCTTTGATTAGGTTCATACCAAATTCCACAACTGTAATAGGGAGACCACACCTGGGACAGACTGTATTTACACAACCAAAGTTTCCTATTATTAGAAAACGAATTTTTGAGTACATGCCTGAATTGTCTGTGTAATTGCCTTGATTCTATGCATTGTTTTCCTTGTGGTTACTTCAAGGAAATGGTGTCACTTCATTAGCTATTTTGCTGAAAACAAAGATTTTCTGGGATAATGTTCTTTGCAAAGCATTAAAGGTACACTTATTTATGGAAATATACTTTTTGTTAGCAATGTAGCTGCTATATGTTTGTTGTACATTTTTGTTTTACAATTCTCCTAAGTAATTTCTTTTAACAATTATATAATCATTTTATGATCATTATTGCTATTTTTCCCTCTTTCTCGTAACTAATAGACTAGGTGACAAAGTACTGCAGGATGTAGAATTGCTCTGCTTTGCCTATAAAGCCAGGAGGAGAGAGAACATAATTTAATTGTTCTACTGCAATTCTGTTGTCTCTTCCTTCCTCTTGACTCAAATGGTCTCAAGAGGGGAGTGAGAACAGTATGGGCTCTGTTGATGTTAGCTGAACTTCAGTGGTGAAGTGAATGTGTTTCTGGGATATTAGTGGTTTCTAATCTTGGCTTTGCTTTCACCTAGCTTTCCTTGCTTCAGTTTCCTCTTTGAAATGGGATATTATACTTCTCTTATCTCCTTTGAGTGTTGTTCTGAGAAACAAATGAAATAATGGCTGGGAGAGTGCTTTCCACTATACAAATTACCACTAGCATTCTGGTTATCCATTTGGTTAGCTAACAAGGTGATGTTTATCCATGTGATATCAAGCAATTTTATAGGAAATGAGAAGCTTCTTCAATAAGGTAATATAAAAAAGTATAATGATATTTTAGTTAACCGAAGCAGAGGTCTGTATATATTAACCAGACATACGCAGAATATAATTGTTGGGTTTTATTGGTTTTTGTTTTATCACAATTCCTTGCTGTGGAGTGTGGTGTGATGACATTAAGAAGATTTCAAACTTAAGTGAGAGAAAAAGAAATGGACTCAAATAAGCTTTAAAGAAGCTGATTCATCTTACCCAACACCTTTCCTACTAATATAGACTCCTACCTATTAGGAAAGGCACGGGTTGGAGTTGTTTATAGAGTTGAAAACAGAAAGGAAGCAGAGGAGGGAAGTTTTGTTGAGAAGAATTCCACCTGTCTAGAACAATAAAAATAACTTCCTATGGGCAAACTTTGGCGTCCCTGAAAGAGCTCTGGATCTTAACTGATGACTGCAGAGGGGACACCGTGATAAATAGGTGAGATCAGCAGAGTGGCTCGGGAAGAAACAAGCACAGCATGGATTCATAAAGAGACCAGGTGGGAAGGTGGGCTGCTATGAAATATTATAGCACACCTGTGGAATGCCAGGTGGGGTGGACTGCAGCTGGTAGTGTGGCTGGGAGGGACCCATCGGCCTGGGCCAGGCAATCAGACTGCCTGGTCCTCATCTTCAACACATTGCCACTCTCCACTCGGACAATAGGTCGGGCAGTTTTAGGGATTCTGGTGGAGCAGTTACAACAATTTGATCATACATCTATTCACTATCTGAAAAATAGAAGTTGTTATTGAGCAAAGATTTAGTTCTGGGGTAATACTAAATGCAACATCTAGGTGTTTGAGAAATAAAGTTTCCGAAAACATCTGCATACAGATTAGGTCTGATCATGAAATATAGACAAGTTTAAGCCTTACCACCATTGTTGGGAAGGAATAAACCTTGAACATTTAGGAGTTCAATGTCTATTAGTAGAATGTGTTTTTTGTTTTGTTTTGTTTTGTTTTTAGGAGATGATCCCTAAACTCCTTTTTATGTTCTAAGTAACGCATGGTTGAGGGCTGGACTGTCTAGTGCTGAAAGAAAGTGTGTGTTGAACATAGAGACCGATACACAGTAGGTTAATGGATGCTGGTTGAATACAGTTGCATAGTTGGACGCACCAAGTTTGTTGTTAAGGGAGGATCAGCATAAAACTCGAGCACCAGTTAGAATGTCTTGGGTAGAAATTCATAGCAGTCTGGAGCCAGTTTCCTCTGCCGAGAAGGGAACTGCCAACCCGTGTGAAGTCTTGTCTAGGTGAGTCTTCCCGAGCGTGTGCAGGTGTTATTCCTGGGAATAAGGCCGGCCACTGCCAGACGGAGGAGCTGCCCATTTAGAGTTCTCAGATCGCTTACCTCGGGGCCTCTGCTCGCCCCACCTTTGCCTTTCTGCCAAATCTCTCCTCGCTCCAGTGCGAAGGGATTCCCACCCCCAGCTGCCTCCTCCAAACCCAGCGGAGCAGCGGACTCCTCCCCTGGAAACTCCTCCGGGGCTGGGGAAGGCTTTGGCGCATGCTCCGTACCTAGGGCAGGTTTTTGCTGCGGGTAGCAGGGCTCCTGTCACACCGGCTGGCGGGTTGTGGCGGTGCCAGCCTGTGTGTGCGAGTGTGTCTGCGTGCCTGCGCCTGGGCGGACAGCCCCGAGCGGCAGTGCGACTCGCCGGGAGAGGCGTCTCCGCAGAGGCGCCTCGCCCGCTGCCGCTGCGCTGCGCTGCGGGGGCAGCTCTGCAAACTTGCGGCGAGCGCCGTCCGCCCTCGCGGCTTCAGAGCCCCGCGACCTGCCGGCAAAGGCGCCGGGCGCGCGTGCGGGGCGCGGTGCCCGCGGCCGGCCGGGGAGGCGGGACCGGGCCGCGCCTTCGCCCTTCGCCGGCGCCCTGGCGAGCCTCATGAAGCCCCAGCGCTCGCGGCCGCAGCTACCCAGCGGCCCGGCTGCGTGCGGCAGGTCAGGACCCGAACCCCGCTCCTCAGCTCCTGAGCGCCCCCGAGCCGCCGGCGGGATGCCGCGCGTCGCCTGAGAGCGCCGCGCCGGGGCGGGAGCAGGGAGCGGGCCGGCCCGGGCGCCCCCGGGAGCGCAGGGCGCCCCACGCCGCAGCCGCAGCCTAGCGCGCCGGCGCCCGCCTCCCCCGCCCGGCTCGCAGGCCCGGGCTCCGCCAGTCCCGAGGGCCGTGGGGCCGCCAGCCAGCCGCACGCCTCGGCGTCAGGGGCATGGAGGAACGGCGGGCTCCGAGCCGCGCCCCGGAGTCCCCGAAACTTCCGAGCGGGCGCCCGTCTGCCCTGCCGCCGCCTCCGCCGCCGCTTCGCCTGCCGGCCTGAGAGCGGGACCATGGATGAAAGGTTCAACAAGTGGCTGCTGACGCCGGTGCTCACTCTCCTCTTCGTGGTCATCATGTACCAGTACGTGTCCCCCTCCTGCACCAGCTCCTGCACCAACTTCGGGGAGCAGCCCCGCGCGGGGGAGGCCGGCCCGCCAGCCGTTCCGGGTCCCGCCCGCCGAGCTCCGGCGCCGCCTGAGGAGTGGGAGCGGCGGCCCCAGCTTCCCCCGCCGCCCCGGGGGCCGCCCGAGGGGCCTCAGGGGGCCGCGGCGCCGGAGGAGGAGGACGAGGAGCCCGAAGACCCGGAGGAGGAGGAGGAAGAGGAGGAGGAAGACGAGCCGGACCCCGAGGCCCCGGAGAACGGCTCCCTGCCCCGGTTCGTGCCGCGCTTCAACTTCACCCTGAAGGACCTGACCCGCTTCGTGGATTTCAACATCAAAGGGCGCGACGTGATCGTGTTCCTGCACATCCAGAAGACCGGGGGCACCACGTTCGGCCGGCACCTGGTGAAGAACATCCGGCTGGAGCAGCCCTGTAGCTGCAAAGCCGGCCAGAAGAAGTGCACCTGCCACCGGCCTGGCAAGAAGGAGACGTGGCTCTTCTCCCGATTCTCCACCGGCTGGAGCTGCGGGCTGCACGCCGACTGGACGGAGCTAACCAACTGCGTGCCGGCCATCATGGAGAAGAAGGACTGTCCCCGCAACCACAGCCACACCAGGTACTGTCCCCCGCTCTGTCCCGCTTCTTCCTCCCAGCGCCCTGTCCCTCTTCCCCGGTTCCGACCCAGAGCGACCCCTCGCTCCCTGCCCCTGCCGGTGGTTCCCTGGCGTCTTCAGCGGTTGGCGCCGTGGTTTTGGGGAGGGATAAGAAACCTCTGGATAGTGCCCAGGTCCTGAACTCATTCTTCCCCCAGCCCCCACTGCTTCCCGCCACCCCCTGCCTTCACCACCTAAGGTGTTCGGAGTCACTGTGTGAATCCTTCTTGGTGCCTAGTACGCCGTGGCCTCCCTCCCAGTGGACGCTGGAAACGCGTCCTGAAATGGGGAGGGGATCGCCCTCTGGGTTAGAACAGCCTTGTAGAATTGTGACCTTAAGTTTTGGGAGTGCAAACTCAAACCCAGGAAAAGGCAGGGCAGGAGTTTTCCAGGCGTTGCGAAGCCCGAGACGATTATAATCCCTTCATAAGTGGCGTTTGGGTGGCAGCTCAGGAAACAATCAATCCTCTAGATGCCACTTTGAAGACACACGTGCAAATTCCTGCCTCTACCTCAGTAGATAACTCTAATTCTGGAGATGGTCTTTGTTGTCCAGCAGTGCCAGGATTTGGACTCACTTGTGCTCAGAAATATTTCCATTCTCTTCCTAGGCCATTACATCAACTTATTCCAAAAGTACCTGTTAAATACTTATAGGATGCCTCACAGTGTTCTAGGTGCTAAATGAGTATAAAGATAAAATAACATCCCTTGTTTTCAGGGTGGAATGACATTCTTGATCCCCTGCCTCCCACCCTTAAAAAGCAATAATACAGTGGAGAATTAGGAAAGTTAAAAATCTTAATAGCCAATGAAATGGCTTACATTATTAACATGCTTTGAGAGAGGCATGGGCTTAAGAATTTGGTTGAATGCTCTTTCTGCCCATTGCAATTTGAAGACTAATATGACATGCTTGCTCGAGGACAAACATATTAAAAGCTTGGAACACTAGTTCATTGAAGTTTTTATCTTAAAGGTTTCAAACAATTTGGTGTGAGGGAATAGGAATTTAAAAGCTCAAGCTCATTATGTTGATATCAGATAGCTTTTGCATTTGACGTTATAGAAAAGCATCATTTGCTGGAAGCTACCCGTATTCTGGAATTCACCACCACTGAAGCAGCTAATTCTACTTCATTTCTCTAAGAATGAGCAAAATTTCATTATGGGATTTTTTTACTCTGGCAATTTTTCAAATACGTTCCTCCCTGCTCCTTTTCCTGTTTCATGGACATTGGTTAATAAGAAATTGTTTGGATTTGGAATGAGGGCATTAGGCTCTTCCCTTTGTATATTTTATGGATCTTTGCATTTAAATATTTTTAATAGTATATTACTTTAGATCTTGCTACTCTCTTTTAGCTTAAAACAGTTTTTCAATTAAATATTACTTCCAAACCTCCTAACACATAACACGATTACTTCAGTGAGACACAATTTCTGCTACATTTCATTCAACCTTGTACTCTGTGTTTAGATTAATTCCTGATTGACCCCAAAGAGTTTGCTAGACTGCTTCCCAGCTTCCATTTGCACTAAAACTGGAGTCTTACTGATTATCACATAGAAACGTCTGATTACTCTTCAGTACGGGCTGGTGTTATTTTTTCTCCATGTACATAAAAGTCATAGTAAATAGATGAAGATTTTGGAGGAGTTAGAGAAGGATGTAAAATCTAAAAAAATTAGATTTTTGCTTAGTGATGAATAATGCTACCACAGACCCTGCATAGATGGCAACCAGTAAGGTCTCACTTCTATGGGAAATACTTAATATCTCTTTACTCTGTGACTAGGAAATCTCTACCATGACTGTTTAAACATATGATTTCTAGTGTGTGATCAGACTATTTTCTTTATTTAGTAATGAAGCATAAACATTCATTTCTCCCTGAATCACAAGTTAGCAGACAATTAGTCACCCTGTTCTGTTTTTTTTTTTTTTTTTTTTTTTTTTTTTTTTTTTTTGTTTTTTTTTTTTTTTTTCTTTTTTTTAGTATTTTTTTGGTAGTATTTTGCTTGTACCTCACTTTACAATTTGTCTTTCTTTTCCTTCCCACCCTCTCTGTCTTCCCAGTAATTCTCAAGTACTTCCTTGCTCTAGGTACTGTAGGAAGGAATGTATAGTAATTCTCAAGCACTTCCTTGCTCTAGATACTGGAGGAAGGAATGGTTGTGGCATATGTGAAGTGTCCTGCATCAAAAGCTATAGGGAAAAAGTTGAAAGGATGTTAACAGTAGCATCTCTCTAGCAGAGAAGATTGAATTAGTTGTCTGTCATTGTAATGTCTGTGTACAGCATTCTGCAGTCAACTAGATTAGCCTGGATAATGGAGGGTACATTTTCACAATGTAAAATGGCAGATAATCTATTGCTACATAATGGGAACAAGGTTCTACTTCAAATAGGGCTGACTCTAAGCAAAATTGATGAGTAGATCTTGTTGATTTTGGTTCCCTAGTCTCTCTGCTTTTGGTGCCCCCAAAGTACCTCCTCCCAGTTTCACTCAGAGATCAATGCCCTTATGGATGACATAATAAGTGAGAGTAAGGATTATGGAGTCAGATAAATATGGCTCTTGTACTTACTAACTGTGTATCCAGGAGTAAGTTACTCTTTCTGAGTCTCAGCTTCTTCACTTTTAAAGTGTAGATAATAATTAGTATGGCCATTATAGGAGTGTTGTGAGAGCTAAATGAATCAATACATGCAAAATACTTAGCATAGTATAATATGCTGGCATATAGTACTTAATATGTGGATATTCAGTAATACTGCAGTATCAGCTGTAAATTGCAATAATAGTTTCCCTATTCAAGGCCTTCTTCCTAAAAAAAAAACAAAACAAAAAAAACCATGAGATCAGTTTCTTAGAGAAGCACTGTGTAAATGGGTCACCTTACAGAGCTGCCATTTTATGATTACTTGTACTAAGCATCCTAGGTTCCAAACTTAATATGTTGGAAATTATGGACATTTGGGCATCAGTCATTGAAGGGGCAAGGCAGGGAACAGAGTTGGGGGCACACAATATAATTGGATATACATTCTGTTGATAACACAAAAAACTATCCGAAATGGGTGAGAGAGGACATGAGAACATCCAAGACTGAAGAAAGAAGGGGGAAGCCAACTCTGAAAAAAAAAAATACATGCGAACTTGAAGGGGCCATCATATGGATTATGTGGGCCATGAAGGGGCAGGACTCTGGGCTGGTGGTTTGAATCCAGCACAGAGGTAATTTCTGACCACAGAAATTGGTTAGAATACGATGATGGCACATTGGAATGACCTCTTTTATTGTATCACTGATGATTTTTTTCTTATTATTTTTGTGTTGCTTTTTTCCCCTCAGTTATTTCTTTGGAAGGTTTTTCTTTCTTACTTCCTTAATGCTTCCTTATTACTGTATGCCCCTTTATCTGCATGTCCAGAGTCTTAAAAGACTCCTTTTCAGCATTCTTGAGTATGTGTAGAATTTTAACATTTTATGGCTAAGAAAGACTGAGGAGAGAATCTAGTCCCACATTTTTCATGGGGAATCTAACCATAAAAAGGCGAAATGATACAACTAAGGTGTCTTGAGGGAATTCATGTCTTCATTTCATAATTTATATTCAATGTTTTGTTTACTCTCTCTTCTGTTTACTATGAAAAATGTAGTGGAGCATGCCTCAAGCACCTACTTTATGTGCCAGGCACTATGATAGTTCTGGGAATTGAGTTCTGAACATTGGCAGCCCTGTGTAGCCTAGGCTTCATCTTTGGTAAGTAAGTATCACTCCCATTCTTAAATAATGATGGAAAGATATTCTATCTGTATCCTTTTATAGGATAGGATGGCAATTTTTCTCTTTTATGACCTGCATTCTATTGGTTTTGTTAGTGTAGTTTGAACCCTGTGGATGTTATATTAAATAGGACCTTGTGTGTTGCAAGTGATACAAACCTAACTCAAACTTATTTCAACCAGAGGGGAATTATTGGCTTATCCAGTCACGTCACAGGAAGGCAGGGGAGAGGTGGTTTCAGGAACAACTGGAACTGGAGATTTGGGGTCTTTCTTCACATACTTCTTTGTGTATTGATCTCATTCTATCAAATTGGCTAATTCCACAACGTGGGTAAAGGTTCTTCTTCATATCTAATAGCTCCACAAGCTGAGAGAGAAGCAGGCCTTCTTGGAGCTCCAGTTTGAAATTTTGGGGAATGACTCTGGTTAGCCCAGAGTAGAACTTGTGACTATTCTTTCAGTCAATCATTGTGTCCAGGGAGAGAGAGAAGGCCTCTCCTTGTATCACAGAAGCATTTCTATAGTGTGTGTGTGTGTGTGTGTGTGTGTGTGTGTGTGTGTGTGTGTGTGTTTTATGTGGAAGAAGAGGAGCTAGCATAGATACAGCTCCTGGATGGACCATTGGGTTCTGGACAATCTCTCTAACGGTTTCAGCTGTCAGTGCAAATACATGAGAAATAAATGAAACTTCAGATCTCTTTTTTGTATTCCACTTAGGAAAAATTTTAGGTCAAACTGCAACTTGAATTTATTTGCAGCATCTGGAAACCATCTCATATGAGAATTAATTGAAATAATGTATAATATTTAATATGGAGATGAGAAAAATGAGGAGAGACGTAAAGCCTGCCTTCAAATAGTGAAAGGAGAGAGATGTGGAAGGTGAAGGAGACTTGTTCTGTATTGCTCCAAAGGAGAGAACTAGGATAAGAAGTGATGAGATTTCAACTCAGAGTAAGAAAGAACTTAATAAAATTTATAACTGTCTAGAAAGAGCATGAACTCTTTTGTGCTCTTTTATCAGTAAAAACTTTAGGAATGCCTGGTTAACTACTGATGTTGTAAAAGGAACTTCTTCTTGGGGAAGGGCTTAGCCTGAATGGCCTTTTATTTTAAGTTTCATTAGTTCTAATCTAAGCTGAGTGCAGGGTATCTTTCTTCCTCT